CTTACACAGTTAGTGTCGTCAGTTATTTACTGTATGTATGTGCTGAATATCGTTGATACAACAAAATGGCACCGATATTTAAAACACACTCTCACTGAGGTTATAAGCACACACAAGTATTTTCATTCACAGCAATGTCTACAGCTCTGGTGACCCTTAAATTCTGAAACGGTTTAACGGTTCTGCTCCTTTGATGGGGACATTTATTCAAAAAGGACACATGTTAATCTCTGCCTTTCCCTAGATATAAAATCATAGATACTAGTAATAACCTACAAGACACAGTGTAGATCTCTTTAAAAAAGTAAAATGCATCGATTGCATTTGATCCTGCTTAAAAATGGCAGTCTAAAGCCATCTTATTGTTCATCTGGGCAGGGATCTGATGCCTCCGTGTTCAGTGTAAAAGCTTCCAGGATCATTCTCAGGAATTGTGAGGCAGTGAGTTCTAATGTTTTGGTCAGGAAAATATTAAAACTGCAGCATCGATGGAAAAGATATGTGACTTACCTACTTTTTAAAATGTATTTGTCAATTTGTTGAAAACGTAGCACATCTCTTCCACTGTACTGCATGAATTAAAAAAAAATAAAAGGTGAGATTTCGAATTCAGCTTTGACTGCTCCGTATCTGAAAGAAGGGCCGGAGCAATGTATAAATACAACCTTGTTGAGCAGGATCCAAAGATATGGTTCTGAGAAAAAAAAAATACTGTAAAACTAAACTTTTTTTTTTAATTAACCGATGGGAGGGACCCAGTAGCAGTCTTTAGGAAGATGCCAAATATTTTCCCGTCATCCAAGGGGTGAAGAACAGGCACAGAGCCTTGGTGTTGGGACTTAGTGTTAACACACTGGAGTATCAGCTGCATGGAAATACAATAGCAACACAGATCATGTAATTTCAGTTTTTGTCCAAAGAGAAACATATACTGTATAAACAGAATAGCAGAGGACCCAGCATGGGGCCTTGCGGAGCACCAAGAAGTAACCAACCCTACGATCTGAACCCTCACAGTGCCTTCTCTCTCTATCAAAACTCAAACACACATTGAAATCTACCTCTACCTCACATGTCAAAAGCTCACTCCCCATAATTTTCTATCCTTTATTTCATTCTGTTGATGTATGATTTTGCACATCTGATGTTGTTTTGCACATTTCCTGTAATCTGTTGTTGTTTTGCACATTGCCTGTTGTCTCTGTCTTTCTTTTCTTATCCATTTGATTTTTTTTGTACTGCTTACCGTCTGAAAGCTAGCTAAATACCATTTTGTTATACCATATACCTGTATGTAAGTATAATGACAATAAACTTGAACTTGAACATCAGAACTAAAAACAAAAAGAGAGATGTAAAATGTATGTGAAATGCCAAACAAACTCTCAAGCCAGGAAAGCACATGCATCATCTCCTGCGAGGAGATCATTAGCAAGTGCTACATAATTACCCAAGCCAGACTGGAAGGGTTTGAAAAATGTAGGTGCAGAGAGATTAATATTTAATATTTAGCAGCACATTCTAACATCCTCACGAGAAAATGAAAGTTAGATACGGACCAAAAGTATTCCAATGTCCTAAACCCTAGTTTTGATCGAGCTGTTAAAAGTTTATTGCCTGCTGAAAGGAAGTGAAACACAACGTTTCGGCTGTGGAGTCTTCTTCAAGTGTGTGAAACAGCATTTATACTGGCTGAATAAAAACTGGCACAAATACCACCAGCACCCACCTCCCATAGACTTCCCTGCTGGACTGTCCTCTTTTTGGAATGATCAGACATGGTCAACCTACTGTATGTTGTAGAGACATGAGGGGAGAATATTGGTCCGGGTGTTATCAGACTTAAAGAAAAGAGGTGAAGGTTGTTTCATAATGGTGATGGGGAGGCAATGAGATGGGTTATGTAGGCTTTAGCTGTCTAATTAATAGCGGAAAACGGGTCTCTAGGATTATTTTGATTTATTTAGACGTGGTAGTTAAATTCATCTTGTGATAAATGTTAGTATAAGTCTTAAAATGTCCAGCATTGACTTGTTTTTTATTTTTTATTTTTGCGGTTTCGGGGAATCTCGGAGTTGTGTGTTTGTCGTGTGTTTTTTATTGCATGCTGATGTGTGGAGGTGGGAGGAAATGACTCCTGCAACTTGTCAACCTTGTTTCAGATGCAAGAGACTGGCAGGAAATTTGATATCTGGGAATAATTCCTACTTGGGAAACGGAATATTCGCTGTCAATGTATATTAATTCCACCAGCAGTTTTTGTTTTAGATATGGAACTTGGGTTTCGGCATAGACGGTCCATTCACCCATTTTTCGTCGAAGAGCATTAGAAGACACTGCCCCCCAACGGACAAAGGGGGCAAATGCATGTTATCTGTCATTGCCTCCCCCCACCGGTTCTTTCGTTATTTTTAGCGTTACAAAAAGTGACGCTTCTCGCGCTTCCTTGAATCGCACAGCTGAACTTTCACCCCGATGAAATGTTAGCCTTCTACAAAACGTCAGGCTCGATTTAGCTGGAAAGTTTACTCGAAAGGTAAAATGACATCGCGACTCGCCTCTTTGCGAGCTCTGTGTCCAGGAGACAGCACTTTAGTGCGAGGCTGCGCTCCCCTCAGCTGCTGCAGACCTCTGTTTCCACTGACGTGCCGCTTTGAAACGGATACAGTTCGGCCATCACCTCCGAGCTGTTTTCAAACAAAATGCTATTTTTCTTCATTATGAGGACGCTGTCGCCTTCTGCAACTGTCAGCTACCTTCGGCTCCTCAATGCATTAGGAGAGCTGGAGAGAAAACACGCTGTGCGGTAAAGGGATCGATTCCCAACCGGGGAGACTATCTGGGGGGAGTTTGCATGTTCCCTACCGTTTCATACGCGTTTTCTTCCAGTGATGCCGTTTCCTCCCACCTCCCAGTGACGTATAGGTTTGGCCAGACCTGTTGTGTTTTGAGGTCGGTGGCTGCGTCAGCATGCGTAGGCTGCAAAGGAACAAGTTAAAGGTTTATTCCATGCTGAAAAGAGAAGAAAGGAAACACAACGTTTCGGCTGTGGAGCCTTCTTCGGGTGTGAGCACCGGTCGTGTTTTTGCCCTTTCTCTTTGATGCCCTACGAGGGATTGGCTGCAAGAACACCCCAGGCTTCTGGGATAGTTGTCTTCTTACCAGGACAAGTGGGTTACAGATAATGTTATGGTATGTGTCGTCAGGATTAATGGCTTATGCCGTCAGAGGTCAAGTTGTGGTATGTTATACTGGGGATTTGTGTTCTGAAGATACTGTTCATTTAAGCACAGCGGGCAATCCCAGGTTCCAATGTCTTTCTCTCACCAAACCCTTGTATCTTCTTACTCTTGTCTTTCTTTCTCGCTTCACCTCTATTTTTTGCCGTATTAAAATGCGGTCCCGAAATGTCTCTAGATATTTTTTTTATTCAGCAAAATAAGAAGAAAATGAAAATGTTGCACTTCATGGGAATTGCCCAAATCCCGTCTGGCTTCGATAGCTAACGGGTTTATCAGCGCGCCAGAGATAACACATCTGAAGACGACGCAGAAGACGCTCACGTCCTTGTCGGATTTGCGGCGCTCTGTTTGAACGCGTGTTGTAGCGGCCTGAAGTGTAAGTAAGGCCAACAGTTGGAGATGAAGGCGAAGAGTAATACATTACAATCGTCAGCGTGTCCCTGCAGGCTACAGACCAATGATAAATAATGTTCTGCATGCATGTGCAGCCGGTTATAAAGACTGCTGCCCTACTGTAATAGTGTTCTGCATGATGACTCACGCTGATGAATGCATCGTAATTCTGGTGTGAATTTGAAAAATGGCTTTGTTCTCCTGGGCTTATCCACCTCCAGAAATATAATAATAATAATAATAATAATAATAGGTTTATTCCATGCTGAAAAAAAGAAGAAAGAGAACACAACGTTTCGGCCGTGGAGCCTTCTTCAGGTGTGGATAATAATATCCAGATAATAATAATAGCACTTTCTGGACACTCCACTCAAAGTGCTTTACAGGTAATGGGGATCCCCTCCACCACCACCAATGTGCAGCCCCACCTGGATGATGCAACAGCAGCCAAAATGAACCAGTACTCTAACCACACACCAGCTATCAGAGTGATGATGCCAATTCATTCATGGGGATTATTAGGACAATTTGGCCATGGCACCAGGGTAACATCTTTACTCATTTAAAGAAATGCCCTATTATTTTTAATGACCACAGAGAGTCAGGACCTCAGTTTTACTGTAGGTCTCATCCAAGGACACACTATCCTATACTATGGTATTAGGACCCACAGACAGAGCCCTCTACTGGTCCCACTAACACCTCTTCTAGCAGCAAACCTGCTGGAGGTCTGCATCTAGGTGCTGGCCAGGCTCACACTTGCTTAGCGCCAGTGGGCTGCCAGTAGGGAGTTACAGTGTGATATAGCTGCTGGCAAATTCCCCTGCTTCTACTTGGTTCCAGTAGAAATGAGCAAATAGTGTCTAATGGTATCACCTCCAAGGGCCATGAGACATTCTGAACTGGAAGATATTGGTCACCAGTAGAATACCAGCTGAACATTTTAACTGGAATTTCTAACAGGGAGATGCAACATGCACTCTTTTGTCTGTAGTAACCAACACTAGTAGTGGTATAATTAGCCATAGCATTCGTACGGAACTGATATTTGGCCATTGCAATGTAAAAAGGCAACAAAACCTGACATGTGAAAAGGGGGCTACAGGACATGCAAATCCTGAGAACAATTAAGGCCTTTTATCGGATTTATGAAAAGTACCTGGGGAATATTTATAATTTATATTTATTTTGCTCGAAATACCGTAAAACACATCAACGCAGCCATTATCTTACAGGCCCAGGAATTACAGGACTTTCCATCTCTCTAACTCTTCAGTGTGTCTGGGGTGGTGGGGCGATGTGAGCAGGCGATAAGGTTTTGAACCGCCAGGTGGCAGTCTTTTTTATCTGTCTGTGTCACGTCAACACAGGCACCTCCTCGGGCAACCGGCTGTGGGTCTTGCTCGCAATGTGTTGTCCCGGATAGGTTGTGGCGTTTTGTTATGCTGCAGGTAGGTGTTAAGAAAGCAGATTTATTTATGGTAGGCTGTTTTGGAAGGAAGCACATAATATAAAATGTTTGGTGTTGTTTCCGTATTTGATTTTTATTTCTGCATGCGGTAATACACTTGCCGGTTAAGATTGAGCGCGTGCGAGAGAAAACAAAATCATCTTTCTCACTCATTTTTAAATAACTTGAGTATTATTTTCGTTGTAGTTCCCAACATACAGTTTAAAACCAATAAAAAAATAAGGACATACAGTCACTCTTTACGAACTTCTTTTAATCACGGAAGGCGTTGCTTTACAAATTACTTCTAGGTGTAATCGGTAGCTGCAGTACAAAATAACGAGGCCTTGGTAATATATCATTTTCAGTGAGTGAGCTAATTTAACAGCTGTTCTCAGTGGCTTGATTTCTTATTGGGCCAGGTCAGGGGCCATGAGCACGCAGTCGCCTTCAAAATGAAATAAGTTACTTTCACTCTGCAGACGCATCGCACCATGTGTTCAATAGACCTGTGTACTAATTTACTAGTCATTATTGGCCACCAGTTGATGTATCTCTCACGTTTTAGATATATATTTATGACTCCATGTGTGCTGTCATTCCTATTTTATACAAATTCGGAAAAAAAGGAGGTCAGGCAGGTATTTCAGGTGTACTGTTATTGGCATATGAGTGCATACACCTAACATACTAGACGCCATGAATAGTACATGTGTAGGATGACAGCACTTTTGATACTCATAAAGGAATAATGTATTTTTAAAGTGTCATCTTTATTTTAGACTTCTTTCCCCTGTTAAGTACAAAATTCAAACCCAGTTACTAGACAGTGGCTTTCCTTTGGGGAAAAGTGCAAGAAAGCAGAAATCCACTGGCGGCTTTTAGCTTTGTCGTCTGTGAGGCGTTCGCAAATGTTGATGCTCTGCAGGTGCAAAGCGTCCACTTAGCCCCGAGCCTAGCTGTGAAGCAGCCAGGGATTTCAAAACGTCCGCGGACCGGGGAGCCCTGCAGTTGACTGTGACGCCCGGCTCTCTGGTGCTTCGTTTTCCGGGGGGGCCTGGCAGCGTGGGGATGCAGCAGCCCGGCCAGTCTCCCGCTGTCAGAGAGGCGGTCCGAGCGAGCCTGCAGAGCGACCCCGTGGCTGCGGACCTCCGCTGCAGCCTCTTCGTCTCCGCGGCTCAGAGCTACAAGCGCGACTCGGTCCTCAGGCCTTTCCCACCCCGGTACGTCAGCGGAGAGAACAAAGACTTCGACGCGCTGGTGAGTGAAGGCTGCAGCCCAGCCTCTGTCGGGTTGTTCAGGATCGTTCTTGTAACACCATTGCCAGGTTCTTCAAACGGCCGAACTAGGCAGACGTAATGGCCCGTTTTCATCTGTGCATGA